ATATATGTATAAGTTTGAAATAGCTCCTATAGGTGTAATTACTCCTATAGGTGTAATTATAAATTTGAAATAGCTACTCCTATAGTCGGTTTGGTTCGGTTTTTTTTTTTCTGATTAAAACCAAAACCAAACCAAATTTGATCGGTTTTTAAAATTCAAAACCAAAACCAAACCAAACAAAAAAGTATCCGTTTTTTCGGTCTATTTGGTTTGGTTCAATTTTTCGGGTTTTTATGGACACCCCTATCAATGGACGTGAATAATTTACTAAATTTCTATATTTACATATACTAAAGTTGAAAAAAGAAAGTGGGAAGTACCATAACGTTTTTCTCGACTGTGAGTCTGTAACATAAATTTTTATTTTTTTCAAAGTTCAAACCCTACTTAATTTTGGGGAAACCTTCACGTATTTTTTTTCCTTCCCGAAAGCGGGAAAACCCTTACACAGGGTCCCAAAAATGTCTCTGTCGTTCTCTTCTCTCTACCATGGGCTCATACAGACTGTTGCCCTTTAATTCCGGAGATGTATTTGAAGAAACCCATTCTTTAGTTTAGCAATCTGGGTACCATGTCGACATATCAAATCTTCTGAGGCAAGGTAATTTATTGGTAGTTTCTGCTTTTTAATTGAAAAGATATAATGGAAACATCTACGATAAAATCCAAGATTTCCGGAAGTACAAATGAAGGGATTGACAGAATAAGCTATTTGCCAGATGATATACTCCACACCATGCTTTCATCTCTCTGTATTTTTGATGTGCATCAGTTGCGTCTGTTGTCAAGAAGATGGAAATACATATGGGCTACTATGCCTAACTTGCACTTTGATATTGATACATTTTATTCAGAACGGCCTTATTGTGATTACACTACGGTTCAGAAATTCAAAGACTTTATCAATTGGGTCTTAATTTCCCAAAGCGCCAATATTAAACTTGTGCAGTTTCTTCTCTGTTGTGGCAATATTTTTGATAAGTTTGCTATTTTGCGATGGATTCATTTGACAACAAGGCGAAATGTTCAAGAGCTTGTATTGAGCTTTAATCTTGGTGAGCCGTTTGAGTTACCATATAGTCTAGTCACTTGTGAATCTTTGCAAGTTCTGAAATTATACTTATATGGTGATGTACTTAAACTGCCTAGTCATTTTGGATTTCATCAGCTGAAATTCCTTCATCTTGAGCGAGTCGAGTTATCAGACCAGCATTTGACAAGTTGCTTGTTCTCAAAATCCCATCTCCTCGAAACTTTGATCTTAGTAAATTTTAGTCTAGGACCCGTGACACTACTTGATATTGCTTCAACATCTCTTATTTATGTTGCTTTACGAAATGGTCATCATGATGTGAAGAGTTGTGGCAATTGTGAAGTCAAAATTTGTTGCCCCAATCTCAAGTTCTTCAAATATAAAGCTCCAATGCCAAAGGATATAATCGTCGAGAATCTCTTTTCAATAGAAGCTGTTTCCATCTTCTGTACTTATTTAAACAGCTCATTTGAAGAAATTGGCATACTTGTGCATAAGATGATGAAGCAGGTTCCTTCTATATCAGCCTTGAAGCTATGCATGCCCTCCATTTCGGTAAAGTTTCCTCTTTAAGTTAAGCATAAAAGGAAGTATTTTTTTAAAAGAAAAAGTCATTGGAAGAGCTTGTTGGTAGCTTTTCAATTAATTTCTTTACTAATGAAATTTTTATTTCTTAGTTTTCAAAAAACTCTCGTTTGTTTTTTGCTGCTGTAAAGTATGCATCATGCAGCTCGCACAGTAAGACTCTCTCCAGTCTCTTTTTATAAGCTGAAGTCCTTGAGACTGGACGTGGAAGTTGATGAAGAGTTAATGCAAGTTATGATATTATTGCTCAAGAGTTCTCCTAATCTGGAAGTTCTTAAATTGTGGTCCGATGAGGTAATGCTCGCCATCTTTTTCACTAATCCTTCTGTACAAATTCCGTTTCTTTTATATGGTAGTTGGTTGGAAGGACTTATAAGTAAAACTAGAGGTAGATTTACGTGAATGGATTCTTTCAAGAGCATAAGGTGGTGAAATTAGGCTTGAAAACGGACTCACTAAATTTTCCAAAGAAATGTTGATTTAATATTGCAATGTCATTGCAATAATGCTACGCTATAAACCTATATTCGAGTAATGTTAATTTGGTACAAGCATCAACTACGGCGTAACAAATGAAAAGGAAACCCTAACATTGAGAGAAGAGAGGAGAGAGATGAAAAACGTTTGAGAGAAAGATATGAGCTGGTCAAAATAATAATTGACCAAAAACCCATTCATTTCCCACATAATGTCCTTTTATATTTACAAGTATATGAAGGAGAAAAATACAAGTAAAAATATACAATACAAGTAATTGTATAACTGGACTGGTTCTCTTCAGTAAACACTAGTGGTCCAGTTGCTTTCCTTTGTTGGATTAGGCTTGAGACACACACTCGTTAGCACCCCCTTCAAGCTTGAGGGGGTGATACCACACCAAGCTTGGAAAGAATCTCATGATTAGGCTGCCCAGTGAGGGCTTTGGTCATAATATCAGCTAATTGATTCAAGGAAGAAACGTAATGAAGAGAAAGCAAACCGGAAGACAAGCATTGGCGGATATAATGACAATCAATTTCAATATGCTTCGTACGCTCGTGGAAAACAGGATTCTTAGCCATGTGTAAAGCAGCCTGTGAGTCACAAAAAACAAAGACTGGGCTGGTGATAAGTAAACCAAGATCACCCAAAAGTCTAACCAGCCAAGAAATTTTAGCAACCATTTTTCGAAGAGCCCGATATTCAGCTTCAGCAGAGGATAAAGAAATGGTAGGTTGCTTCTTACTCTTTCAAGAAACAGGGCTGCCACCAAGCGTAATATAATATCCGCTAACAGATTTGCGAGACACCACACAAGAAGCCCAATTAGAATCAGAGTATGCTAGAAGTGAAAAATCTGAAGAACTGGAGAGGAGAACACCTTGAGCAGGATCATTCATGAGATATAGAAGGACATGCAAAGCAGCCATCATATGAGAAACTTGAGGTTTTTGCAGAAATTGACTCAAATGTTACTGGAAAAGATATATCAGGTCTGGTGTTCTGCAAGAAATTCAGCTTCCCAACCAACCTTCTATATAAACTAGGATTAGAGAAAGTCTCCCCCATGTCCATAGTGAGCTTGACAGAAGGATCCAAGGGGGCCAAGACAGAAGAAAAGTGTTGACAATTGAACTCAGAGACAAGATCAGATGTGAACTTTTGTTGACTCATAATGTATCCTTGAGGATGAAGAGAGATCTCCAACCCCAGAAAATAATGCACTGAACCCAAATCTTTGATCTTAACCAAATAAGACTTTAAGGACTGCGTTTCAGATAAATCATTTCCAGCCAACAGGACATCATCAACATACACAGCCAAGACTACGTCTAGCCAAATATCAATATGGACTAATTGAAATGGGACAATAGAATGTATAACATTTTCAGGAAAAGGCAGTCTTTGTTGTCTAGCCATTGGACAAATAGAACACAAGAAAGATTGTTTAGGTGATATTTTGTTTGACAAATATATAACATTTTGTGTAAAGGTATATGCCCCAATCTTTGATGCCAAAACAAATCCACTTTATTAGAGGTAGATGTGTGATTACAAGAGACAACATCAACAACATGATCAACTAAATGACTAGTGTTAACAGAAGGAACAGAAACAGGTAAACTAACAGGTGAATGAGAAACATACATGGAAGTGGATGTGGCAAGAAAAAGATCAGCATCTTGATATAGGTAGGGGTGTTCATGGTTCGGTTTGGATCGGTTTTTTCCTTAAAAGAAACCAAACCAAGTAAGTCGGTTTTTCAAGTATTAGAACCAAACCAAACCAATTAAGTCGGTTTTTTCTCGATTCGGTTTATGTCAGGTTTTGTCGGTTTTTCGATTTTTTCGGTTATTTGTCGTTTTTTCTTAAATATAAGCCATACACTACCAAACACATATTCCGGCGACCACATTTTCAACTTAACACTATCAAATCAATTGCCATTTGAGAAATCTATTATTTACCAAGATATATTGATGATAATTGAATCAAATAGTGATGAATAATTTAAGGACTCAATTAAAAATATATTATTTTTAACATGAATTGGATTCTTACACTTAACAAAAGAAAACTACCAATGAAACTAGAATGTAAAGGTAAAGAACTATACTAAAAGTGCAAACTATTAACATTACCATTAAGTTTTTTAAACTTTGTATAAAAATATACATATATATAGGTGTAATAATAAATTTGAAATAGCTACTCCTATAGTCGGTTTGGTTCAGTTTTTTTCTGATTAAAACCAAAACCAAACCAAATTTAATCGGTTTTTAAAATTCAAAACCAAAATCAAACCAAACCAAAAAGTATCAGTTTTTCTGGTCGGTTTGGTTTGGTTCGATTTTTCGGGTTTTTATGAACACCCCTAGATATAGGTAGTACAACCTGCTTGCAGCCTTACCAATTTCCAGTGGCCTTTTCAGAGAAGGGCCTTATAAAGAACAAATTGATTTGGTAAATAAAGCTGAACAATCTAATTGACAGATGAGTTGATGTACAGAAATCAGATTGAATTGAAAGGAAGGAACAAGGAGGACATGGAGTAAGACTATATCATGTCTGAGATGTAAAGATCCAGTGGAAACTACTTTGGCTTTATATCCATTTGGCAAAGTGACAAAAAATGGTTTAGTTAAAGGTTTTACATTAAAGAGTAAGTGTTTATGTGGAGTTATATGGTTAGTTGCACCTGTATCTAATATCCAAGGATTTACATTTAACTGTGATGAAGCACATACATGAGAGTCCACAGAACTTACAGCATAACTACTAAACAAACCTGTAAAATATGCAAATGCAGTGTTGTCCACAATAGAATCATCATGAGCTGACCCAAAAGATAGTTGAGCCTGCTGAAATAGAGCTAGGAGATGTTGGTACTGCTCTTTAGTAAAACCATGAGCTGATGACTCGGAGAACTGTATAGTTGGAGTAGCATGTAGAGGTGTAGAGGGAGTGAAAGGAGGTTCAGTCTGAACACATGAAGCAGACTTCTTGTTCTTTGTGAACTTGAAGTCTGGAGGAAATCCATGGATCCTATAACATTTGTCCACAGTGTATCTAGGTTTCTTGCAATATTTGCAAGAAACATTTGTGTTAGACCTCCTGGATTCAAAATTCACCTTGTGACTGAAGGTCCTGTTCCCATTTGATGATCCAGGAGAAACTAGGAAGGAAGATGTATCTCTACAAAAACTTGGGATAGAAGAATGAGCTTCCTTTTGACTTTCATCATGTTGAAGAAGGGAATAAGCCTTGCTCATTGGTGGAAGAGGGTTCATCATCATAATAGCACTTTTTACAGTTGAATAGGAGTCATTTAAACCATATAAAAATTGGAATAATTTTTGATCTTCTATGAATTTGGGCAAGGCACCACAAGAGCATACAGGTCCTACATATGAGGAATAGATCACCCCAGAGGCTTCTCATCTTTGTAAAGTAAGATGCTATGTCAGAAGACCCCTGAGTACAGTGTTTTTGAGAGCGAGAAGCGCAAAAAAGCAATAGGGGCTCGCCTCGCTTCAAAAGCAAAGCGCAAAGCGAAGCGCACACTTCATTGAAGTGAAACGCAATTTTTAAAAAACATAATGTAAACATTGCAAAGACACAATATAAATAATCCAAAAATTCAATTCAAAAACTTTGGGACATTTTTAAATCCCTATTAATATAAGAAATACATAATCAAATAAACTGAAAATACATATAAAATTAATCAAATAAACTGAAAATATAACATATATATAATAATTAATTTTATAAACTGAAATACACATTAAAAAATTCAAATAAACTGAAAATATAACATATCATATATATATAATAATTAATTTTATAAACTGAAAATGCATATAAAATTAATCAAAATAATTGAAAAATAACATATATATAATAATTAATTTTATAAACTGAAAATACATATAAAATTAATCAAATAAATTGAAAATATAACATATATATATATATATATATATATATATATATAAAATTTATTTTATAAACTGAAGTACATATAAATTAATCAAATAAACTGAAAATATAACATAATATATAGTAATAATTAATTTTAGAAACTGAAACACACATCAAACAAATCAAATAAACTGAAAATATAATATATATATATATATATATATATATATATATATATATATATNAATAATATATATATATATATATATAATAATTAATTTTATAAACTAAATTACATATTAAAAGTAATAAATAAGAAGAATAAAAGGGGGGAAAAACCAACGCCTGCCCTAGCGCAGACACTGGTCGAGAAAAACTGAAAAAGAGGAGAGAGAAGAAGAAGAATAAAAGATGAAAAATTACCTAGAGGCTGAACCCTAGTTGGCTGCTGCTGGTAACGTTCATCAGAAGAAGAAGAAGAAAGAAGAATAAAAGAGAAAAATTACCTGAAGGCTGAACCCTAGTTGGCTGCTGCTGCTAACGCTCAATTTTTGGCAAGACAAAGAAGATCTTTTCACTTTGGGTCTGTTTTGTATAACAAAAAGAAAGACCCAAACTTTTTTCTTTTTCAAAATGGCCCCTCTTAACAGAAGTGAGCGCTTCTGCGCTTCTCGCTTCTGGGTCGCTTCTCGCTTTTTTGGCTGAAGCGATCGCTTCTGCTGGTCGTGTCGCTTCAGTAAGGAAAAAGCGACAGCTTCTCGCTTCGCCTCGCTTCGCGCTTAAAGCGACGAAGCGCTCGCTTTTCAAAACACTGCCTGAGTAGTAGAGTGGATTTCCCTTAGAAGTTGGATGTACTTAGACCCATTTGACTGCCCAAACCTATCATTGATGTCTTTCCAGACTTTCTTGGTAGTCCTAAAACACATCACACTAGTAGCAATCTCTCTAGACACTGAGTTTGTTATCCGGGCCTTGACCATGTCATTACATCTTTCCCAATACGCATAGTAAGGGGAATCTGATGTAGGCCGGGAGACTCTACCATCTACTAACCCTAGTTTATTCTTTGCAGAGAGGGAAGTGACCATACTACTTCATCAAAGTACAAAGCCAGACCCATTGAATGGCACATACACCAATTGACTACCAGGATTATCAGACGGGTGAATATAGAGAGGGTGAGATGGATCTAGTGAAAATGGAACAAAACCATCAGGAGTCGAAGACACATCATCATTATTCAGTATACTACCCATTCTCACACCCAATTAGAACGAATTCACAATACAAAAAATAAAAGTCGGCTGATAACAACAGAGGTAAAACGGAGATGCAATCAACAGAAAATCAACACATGCAAATAGGGGAGAATATACGGGCCTTCTTCTGAAATCCCGAAGAAGTAAGGTCTCGTCTAATCGCAAACCCTAGACATGATTTTTGCTCCCAAATGTAATGCCAGCTTTGTGAAAACCAAAAGTTTCAGAGAAGATATACCTCAACCAAGGATCGAAGTTGAAAAACCCCAAATTTCTCCGGTGAAAAAAAGGACAACACTGTTTCGACTACCTCTTACTTCAACCAAAACCAAAACAAGAAAAACTTACGGCAAGGGTACAATCGGAAGAGAGCTCACGATGAGAGGAATCTAGATCCCTGCTCTGATACCATGTTAATTTGGTACAGGCATCAGCTATGGCGGAACAAATGAAAAGGAAACCCTAACATTGAGAGAAGAGAGGAGAGAGATGCAGAAGGTTCGAGAGAAAGATATGAGCTGGTCAAAATAATAATTGACCAAAAAGCCATTCATTTCCCACATAATGTCCTTTTATATTTACAAGTATATGAAGGAGAAAAATACAAGTAAAAATATACAATACAAGTAAATGTATAACTGGGCCGGTTCTCTTCTGTAAACACTAGTGAGCCGGCTGCTTTCCTTCGTTGGATTGGGCTTGAGTCACACACTGGTTAACAAGTAAGGCAGACCCTCACAAGCAAAATTCCACTCACCAAAATAATAAACATGTCACGATGAAAGATGTAGGATTTGACTAATCGTCAGTTTGGCTTAGCTGAATTTAAGTTACTTTTAAGCACCAAGTGTTTAGAAGTACTTTTAAGTGTTGGACTGGTTTTATACACACAATTACGAGTTTGGATAGAATAAGTTGTTGATCGCGTTTACGTAAAGAGTCGTTCGTAACGCCCTTACAACCCCCCCCCCCCCCCCCCCCGTTTTTTTTTTTTTTAAATCACCGAAATATCCTTTAATCCGCTAACATTGTCAAGGAGTTGATTACCAAAAGATTTTAATTCTTAATTTATGCCAAAAAGAATGCCATATTTGGAAACAATTTACCTTTATGCAATAATTTATAGCCACACAAAATATATGTGCCTCATTTTACACCACAAGTTCAAAAGTCTTTTCTCTTTTCTTAAACTTCGTGCCCAGTCAAATAGGTTCACATAAATTGAAACAGAGTGAGTATATGTTTTAATTCACATTCAGTTTAAACTGATTCATGAAATAATTTTTGATAAATTATAAGTTATTTTTGAAGTGGTTGAATTAAAAAGATATATGTTCTTAATGTCTAGTAACTAGTAATATTTGGTTTTGCTATCACACAATCGTTTTTGAAGCCAACACAGGTACCGACATTGCAAAAAGATATTATTACATGAATCTTTTTTTCCAAGTATTACTTTAAACTTAAATGTAAAAAATTATTGCTGATTGATAATTTTTTATTGTTAGATACAACAACAACATACCCAGTAAAATCCCACTAGTGGGGTGTGGGGAGAGTAGAGTGTACGTAGACCTTACCCCTACCCCGAAAAGGGTAAAGAGGTTGTTTCCAGGAGACTCTCGGCTCAACAGGAGAGGCAATAATATCAGAAAAGAAACAAGAGAAAAGACATGTAACAACAAAAGATACTAGAAAGAAAATAACCACAACAAATAAGTGAAAGGACAATAACACAAAACTATGCAAAACAACAATGTGAATACAACAAAGACCACTAACAAACCTAAACGAAACTCTATTGTTAGATAGGTATGGATATATTATGCACTTATAAACAAAAGGTGGTTCAAATTAGTTTCCTTTGATCCTTACATGTTCGACTCATTCTGTAGAGAAGTGGACTTCTACCTGTCAATGTTGTTTGGAATTTCAGTTGATCTTAGGATTTCCTTTCATGCTATGAGTGGAAAGTCTGACAAGGTGATGTTATTCAGTAAGTTTTTGTATATGAGCAGTCACTCTTTTGTTGTATATTTTTTCTATGCGTCTTCTTGATGCCATTAAATGAAATTCTCTTACTTCATCAAAAAAAGAACTGAGATGATGTTACAACTTTAGGGAGCATTAAGTTGATAAATGAAGGAGAAATTGTAAATTTGGCCTCAATAGTATCTTGATTAAGAATAAGTTTGCCAGCAAATGCAACCATAGTATCTAAATTTGGTTCTAAGCTGAGCTTGATTGCAAAGACAACTTACTCAAATTAATTCATTTCCTTTGTAAAGAAAAAGATGCATAATTGACCCCGGCAGATTCTGGAAATAAACTCATTCCAATGCTAGAATTTCTATTGTTTTCAGGCGCAAGAGATCAGGTAAACAGGGATCATTAGGATAAATTTACCTGGATTAATGAGGGGATAGATGTTTTAGATGACCTGAGATGAGTAAGATGTTCGGTGGATGGATGGCATGGTTTGAATAGTATTTACCACGGTGTGAAACATGAACAGATCACGAGAAATCACTATTGAATGAGTGACTCCAAGGGATAAAAGAAAATTTTCAATGAGAAGGAAATGGTGCAAATCATTTTGATAGTGAATCTTGTTTGACATTTTCGCTTCTAATGGAGGAAATGGTTGCTTATGCTGCTGAATGTTTGCTTATTGTTATTTTTTGTTTTTTCAATATAATACTGTGCTCGAGGAAGTGGTTTCTCCTCTGACTCTCAAGTGTCTGCTAGAATGATGGAGGCTGGAGTGAGAATTGGCAGATGTGCGATCCTGATGAAAGCATTGTGTGCTTGGAATCTCATTTAAAGTCAATTCAGTTGACTGGTTTCAAATATGAAGAAAACGAGATCGAACTACTAAGGTTTTTTCTGAAGAATGCACGAGTGTTGGAAAAACTGACAATTGTTTGGGAGAGCTATGCTCATAAATCAGAAGAGGCAGCAGAGGAGGTTTTGAAGTTACCTAGAACACGTTGTTTTGGCATTCCTCGATACCAAGCCCAGGAGGAAAACAAGACCTCGTAACTGGTACAACAGATATTAAAATTTACTCAGACTTGGGAGATGATTATTTTGATTATTGGATGTACTCTTATTGAGATTTCTCTTAAAGATCCAAGTCAGAACCCCACTGTATAAGAAATTACATAGGACCTTGATATTTATGAAACTTCTATGGCTGTTTTGCCTTTCGTATTTGAACTGCTACAATGTACTAGGAAGGTCGTGTCTTATTTCTACTGTAAGGTATCAAGCAGGATATGGTTAACTTCATTTACAAGTGTCAAAGGAACAATTATGATGCTTCAGCATACCAATGTTTTCGCTAGCACTATTTCTTCTCACACTGTTTGGTCTGAAATCTATATGGGCTGCTTGCTATTATTGTGAGTGGTAGAGATCCAATTTTCATCAGCTCAATCTGGCAAGAGACTTTCTTTCTGTTTGGGGTGCAACTTCATACTTCTTCAACATATCGACTGCTTGCTATTATTTGGTCTGAAATCTTTATCGACTGCTTGCTGTTATTGGATGTGTTTGTGTTGATTCTCCTCGTGACTGGGTTAAATACCTTCTAGTCTGGTAGGCAATTTCAAGTGGGAGACTGTTGTGTGTGTTTCCCCCCCAGAAGTTGCAACACTACAGAAACTTTTCCTTGTTCATAAACCTATTCATGAACTCTCTTTTAAATACTTTGGATCATATCATGTGTTGCTCAAGGAACAATCGCCAACAACCGAGCTTCAACTTCCTCAAGAAGTGGATGTACATCCTTATTTTCCTATTTCTTAGTCCAAGGGCGGTTTTTGCTCTTCCTTCTCATATTATCGATCCTCCTGCGAATGATTTAGCTCATCCACTTTTTACCCACCAGTAAAGTCTGTCTTACCCAAAAGAGGCAATAGGCAGTGGCTCAACATATATGGATTAAATAAAGGATTAGTTACCTCCTATAGTAAAGGGGTTGATGCCTTATTTATTTTAAATAAATACCCTTTTAAAAAATTATATTCCATAGCTACCTTTTGACTTTTTATAGCCAAATATATATTTATGGTCACCTCCTACCCTTAAGCCATAAAATAAGCTTTGTATTATTTTTCTCTCTCATATCCCCTCAAATTTCTCCTATCCTCTACCCCATATCTCTCTCTATTTGCATCGACTTTCTGTTACACGCCCTAAAAAGCAGATGCAGAAAATGTACTCATCTGCGTATCTCCGTAGGATGGTTTTTTTGGGATTGCACTGTATATTAGGCCATGACTGCATCACTGGTTTTCGAGAGCAGACTGAAGGAACGAAAAAACATTGATAAAGTCAACACCATATTCTTTATGGTCAAGATGTGAGATCAGTTTTCTGCTGGGACTTAGTGTGATATGTAAACAATTGGGTGCTATTATATTCATACTATGTTTTTTAATGGTTGAAAATTCCATAGCTAATATTGTTTTTTATTGAACATAGACGACGGAGTTGGGGGCTGAGCAACTTGAATTTTCTGTTAATATATTTCAATATATCTCGCTGTATTTCATTGTATTCATTGTCTTTTTTATCATTGTGTTTCAATGTATCTCGTTGTATTCTATGTATTTCATTGTATTCATTGTCTTTTTCTTCATTGTATTTCAGTGTATCCTGCTGTATTCTATGTGTTTCATTGTATTTACTGTCTCGCTTTATTCCATGAATGTATTCATATGTTTTTTTTGTATTAATATAATTTATGTATCTAGATGTATATA